TGCTGGATAGTTGAGTGTTTGAGGTTGGGAGTTTGAATCCCCCCACGGGGCCTCCTTGACAGGGGCTGGACTAGATGATCCTGAGGGTCCCTTCCAGCTCAGCTGTTCTAAGATTCCCTGGAAGGGACATTGAGCTGGACAGAGGCAAAGAAAGAAAGAAAACGAGGGAAAATGCAAGCAGGAACCCATAAAATCTTCTCTCTCTCTCTCTCTCTCTCTGTGTGTGTGTGTGTGTGTGTGTGTGAGAGAGAGAGAGAGAGAGAGAGTTCTCAGCCTGGTGAGACTGGAAGTTCACCAAGAATGAGCGTCTTGTTCTGAGTCCTCTCCCCGTCCCTGGTGTCGGGTGGGCACGTGAAGACTGGACTCCTCTTCCACCTTCCCTAGCCGTGTGGAAGAGGGCATTTCAACAGGGGTGGCTCACCTCATAAGATCCCCTCACCTGCTGAAATTCCCTCTTCTGCACAATCGGAGAATGTATGGGAACTCAGTCCTCTCCTTCAAGCGGCCACTGCTAGAGAGCTCAAGCTTTTAGGTCTCTGGCTGCAGAGCCAGAGGTTGGGAGTTCGAATCTCCGCTGGGCCTCCTTGACTGGGGCTGGACTGGATGACCCCACGAGGTCCCTTCCAGCTCCGCCGTTCTAAGAGGGGAAGGATTCAAAAACACCCAGCACGATCAATCCAAGTTACAAAAACATTGACTGGTATTATATAACAGATACCATTTTTAACCACAGGGCCCCTTCTCTAAACAAGGCTCAACGGCCCCTTGGAAGCCCCTCCCAACGCCATCATTCGTACAATGCTATGTCTTCAGAGCTGGAGGAATCAAAGACCCCCACGGGAAAAAGAAACCCATACTTGTGGCTGGAAGGAAAAAAAGAAAGCATGTGAGACAAGCCGTAAATGAGGAAAGGGAGGCTGGAACGGATAGGCAAGAAAAGACCCCGTCGCCTGTTGGGAAGGAAATAACATCACAAAACCAGGAAACCAACTAAATCCTCAGTGCTGTCCTTTGTAGGAGGGAAAAAGCTGCAAATCAGTTCTCCAAAGGCCTGGCTCGGCTGTCTCAGCTGGGGATAATGGGAGTTTTAGTCCAAGGCAACTGAAGGGAGGCTGCTGCCCTCCGGTGGAAACGAAGCATTTTGGAAAGAGAGGGTGATGCTGCTGCGTGGGACCCTCATTGTCCATGATGGAAAGGGGAGAGCTGGCTCTTTGGCTACCGGGCCCTCTTCCAAAACAGGAGAGGAAATGCACAGTTTTTCACGCATCCTTTCCGCCCACCCCACTTTGGTGTTTTTTTTTTAAATCTCCAGCATCTTCTCATTAAACCCAAGCATGAGAAAAATGCTTTAATGTGGAACATTCTGTGAAGGGAACATCTCATAACTCCTCGGCAAATATTGCCCCAGGTTCGCGGCGGCAGCTGGACACGACCTGGTGTTGTTCCTACGAGGGGGAAAACGACAGAAGAGGAAGTTTTCCTCGGTGGTTGAAAGTAGCAGGGTGGGAATACCTGGTGGACCGCTTGGTCCCCCTCCCGTGCTTACTTCTTGGGAGAACCGCTGGTGTCCGGACATCCCAGGCCGTTTCTCCGGATGTGAAGCCCGGTCAGTTAGCTGGAAAAGAGGAGGGGAGGCCGCCCTTGTTTGCTTTTCTCTTCCAGCTGTTCTGGACCGGCCTTTGTGCAAGGCGTAGGTTGGGTTGGGTTGGGCAGGCCTTCCCCAGGGAAACCTTGCCCCAAATCCTGATGACTGGATAAGGGGGAGCTTTCCATGGAGAGGAAACCACACAGCGGTCTCTTCTACATGGGTAACAAAATCACAACATTTCCCCCCCCCCCTCCAAGCTTAGGCTACTTTCAAGATGAAAATATTTATTTCTGTTTGAGATTTGGGGGATGGCAGTGCACTTCCCCAGACACCATTGGCGTCGTTTTGCAGTATTCAGATTTTGCACTGCTGACTTAAAGGAATCGGATCTATTGATTTATGTTGTCTTTTTAAAATCCTTTCTGCTTAGGCTTTATCAATGGAAGAAACAAAGCAGACAGTAACGTTACATGGTGAGTTGTCCAGTGCATGAGGGAAGAGCCTTTTTAAAAATCCCCAGAATGTGCCCTCCCTCAGATCATAGCCATTAGAGGTGATGACAGAGGGCTCTATCCTCCATTATGCACAACCCATCGTTAGGAGTAGGATTTCCATAAGTGCTGATGGCGAGTGTTTGTCACAGGAATGGAAGCTCAGTGGGGCAGACACATGAGCACAGAAATGGGAAAAATTACATTCATTGTTCGAACAATTACATTTGTTCGAACAATGTCCAGATTGTGTGCATTGATTCTGCAATGCACAGAAAAAGAACAAAACGGCGGTGCATTCTTTTGGTTAGAGAGACAATAACTATGCTAGAAAAACATAATTATCCTATGAAGCCTTATTGACAGTCCAAAGTGAGTTACAGCACCTGCAGAGGGCAAAATCAAGCATTGCACAGTTGTGAGGCCTAGTTTGTGAAACACTTTAAGTCAAAGGTGCTCACTTTGAAAACCCTAAAAAAGAAGGGTTTTTTTCACCAAAAAATGAGTAGATTGATGAAAAAATGGGGGACGCCTCTCGTTTACTTGCTCCGGCTTAAGTTCCGTGGTGTAAATGTGCACCAGCGAATCGCCAGTAGTGGATGAGTGGCTGCTTGGGTTCCTCACGGCCTAGCTGTGCTGTGACTTGCTGCACATTGAGGACTAGAGTGTTGACTCTTGAACTAGTGGCCATTTGACCACCGTTGGACTGCCATCCACGTCAAGAGAGAAAAAGATTTCTGGACAAGAACTGGAAGGTCAGGAAGGTCACAACTCAGGACGGTCAAGAATCTTTGGGATCAACTCGACGCTCCTCTCCTGGACGCTCAGCTGACCTCTGTTCTCAGGGGGTTCAAAGAAGGGGGAGCAGCTCCAGCCCAAGTGGGCACCGCCATAGTTGGCACGGGCTAACTAGAGGGAAGAAGGCAGGTGGCTTTTCAAAAGAGAAAAGGGGGAGGAAGAAAGGAGGAAGAGGAGAAAAACGCCCCCAAGGAAGAAAGGGGAGAAAAATCGGCACCAATAAAAATGAAGCAAGAAAAGAAAAAAGGCAGGGAATGGTTTTGAGCAGCAAATCAGTAATAAAAGCAAGTCTAATGACCAATAAAAGCAAGTCTAATAAAAAGAAGTCTCTAAAACTATTTTATTTTGATTGATTGATTGATTGATTGATTGACTGATTGACTGATTGACTGATTGATTGATTCCGCAAAAGGCACTTCTCCAGACCCTGCCGCCTTCCTTCACCTCTGTAAAAGATGGGCCTGGGGAACCTCTTGCAGGGGCTTTCCAAAACCTATTCCGGCATGTTGGGGGGGCCTTGCCTGAAGGACGAGGAGCCGCTCTTCATCCTGGCTTTTGTGAATCGCTTTCAAACATTTCAAGACCGAGTCCGGTTGCTCTTGGCACCGAGACAAGCTTTCCGGCCCATGGCAAGCGGGAAGAAAGGCTGAGCTCCCTTCTAGATCTGCTTTTCCCCTGGGTCCAAAGTGCAGACCTGGGATTTCTAGGAATAGAAGGAAGGCCACTTTTTCCCTCCCATCCTCCTCTTGCTGGTGAGGGCCTTCTGCCTGGCCCAAGGATTATTGTCCCCGTTGCGTATTTGCATCCCAGTCCAAAGCAAGCAAAGAGCCAAGATCCTCCCACTCTCTCCCAAGTTCTGCAGCGTCATCTTGAGCATACATAGAAGGTGGCCTTGCATGGAGGGAAGGGCGATCCTTCCTTCACTGCAGACCCAAGATCTCCTGATGTTGTCGTGCTGGACCCCCCCCCCGCCCATCCCCTCCTGTTCCAATGGAGTTTCCTGGAGAAATCCGTTGTTCGAAAACCCTTGGCAAGGAAGGAGAGGCAGGCAGGCAGGCCGTTTTGGGAGCGCGCATGCACACCCGCCTCTTGCCGGCATGGCTGACAGCCT